TGCTCAGTGGGGAGTCTGCTTTTCCTTCTCCCACTCCCCCTGTTCTGTGTTCCTCTCTGGCTGTCTCTCTCTCTGTCAAATAAATAAATAAAATATTTTTTAAAAAAGTATAGGAAAAACCCTAAATTATCAGGTTAACCATTTTTGGTAATTTTGAGAACTTTTTTAGATCTTCTAATTAGATAAGGCAACACCTTTTCACAAATTTGACAATTGAAATTCATATATTGATGACATGCTTTTTCTGTTTAGATTTTTAAAACTATTTTAATAGATATAATTAACAGCCTTGTTTTCTAAGTGATAAATATGAGAGCTGGAATGTTGGCAGGTTTTGCAAAACTTCTAAAGTAGCCAATGTCAATATAGGACATACTATTTACTTGCCAAGACTTAATATTTAAATAATTTAGCTTCATCAGCTTTTATTAAGTTCTGCTATATCTTGTACACTCTGAGGACAAAAATGTACTATTTACACAATAAACACTGATGAATATGTACTCAGTACAACAAATTATGCTACATATAATGAAAATCAAATGAACTGTTTCCATTCTTTAGAATGTTTATACAGAGTTTTCCAACTCTATATAAAGCAGGTAAGAATTCATACACATAAAATTATGGCAAAATTTGTGCTATATGCCAAAGACAGATGTTCAATAAATAGTCTATAACCCTATAAGATGTGTAAGGAAAGAGTATGTGGCAATGGAGATGATCACAAACATCATGTAAAAGGTAGCACTTAAAAAGAGCCTTGAAGCATGGACAGAATAGGAATTATTAAAAACATTTTCCTTCAAAAAAAAAAAAAAATAGTTTCCTTTCCTCCAAGTCAGTCTCATGAAACGTAGGATGCAGTTTTTGTCTCTGACTCCTTGTTCATCTTAAATGGACTTGCATAATATTTTCTAAATAATTTTTAGGTAACGTACAATTGTCATTTTGAAATAATTTCACTCCAAATATTCCTTTATTTTAAATGAAACATATAGAGTTGGAGTTTAAAGAAATATTACCACTCATCTAAATAATTATTTGTTCAGTGTTGTCATGATTAAGATGCAAAAAAGGTCAATTTTGCTTCTTTTGATTATTAGTTTTTATTTATTGTCTCCCTAAATATGTGTAGCTTTAGGGTGTCAAGCACAATTTTTATATTCTGACCACAATACAAATATTCCTTGCCACAGTGTGTGAGAAAAGGAGTGCCATGAAAAAATAAGTACCCTGTGTTTTCCAAATGCATTCAGATTAAATCCAAATTCCTTATCAGGGACTGCAAACTTTTTTTCCCCAGTAACTTACACTTCTTGTCTTTTGGCTGGGATGCTTTTCCTGAAAAATTTAGAAACAGATAACAGTTTCTCAAATGCAAGAAATTATAAATAGGTTAGTATGGTTGGAGATTGTGAGTGTGGGAAGAGACTACATCTGAAGGAATTCTTAGATATTGTGTGGAAACTTGTAGACTTTGCTAGCATTTTGTAGTAAAATTAATTGGAGTTTCCCAAAAAGGACATGATCAAATGCTGTTGAGAAGGATGGGAGCAAGATGACTGCAATCTTAACAAAAACAGGTTCAGGGGAGTGGATTGTGCCAACATGCGATTTAAAATAGGAACTAGAGATGCGTGTATGGAAAAGTAATTCAAGAAATTGTGTTCTGCAGGGAAGTGAAACTAGTAGCTACAGGGTAAATTGAGATCAAATGAGATTGATAGTTTATGGTTATTATTTGTTTTCTTTTGCTTCACTTTGTTTCCATTGAAAAATTCTGGAATATTGTACTGGGCTCATGTGAATGTCTACGTGAGAGAAAGAGAGAGACCACAGACAGGCAGACAGAAATTGAAAGACAGAGACTGAGAGAGTCTGAGCATGTAGAAGGAATAGTAGACACTTGAAATATTACCCACAGAGGATAGAGATGAAGTTCCTAATTAAAATAAAGATATTTTCCTTAGATAGAATCAAAAATACCTGTGCATTTTAATGGGAAGAAAGGTAGAGAGGGTGGCTACAAGTGCATTTAGGTTTGGAGATTTGGTGGCAGGAAAATAAGCAAGTTCCTCTAATGCCTTCCATTTTCTCAGCACAGAGACAAATGTAACCAGCTAGGAATCACAAAAGAACAGAGCTTCTAAGGAATGAGAAGAGAGAGAAGAAGCTACAGAATCATCATGTTGATGCCGAAAACTAAAGTTAACTAAGGAAATAATACTAAGATTGTCTAGCAGCATTGTATGTACCATTTGGATTTTGGCCATGATTTGAAGACAATGAATAATTACATATATATGTAGTTTTTTCTTGGATAATATTGAGTACACTGCTTTCCTCCCTAGATCTCTATTTGGATTTCTTTAGCCACCTCAAATTAAAGAACACTTCAAACTTAATTACTATCTTCCTCCAAATACATTTCATATCGAACATTCTCTGAGAAAATGGCTCCAGTAGTTCCTGTGCAGTTTAAGCCAAACACCTCTAAGTCAGCCATAGGATTTCCCCTCTCACATCTGACCATTAAATAAACCATGAAACCTTGTTGATTTTACCTCAGACTGATCATCTAAATTCACCTACTCTCATCTATCACCATTGAAACCACTCTTGTTAAACAAGAGTCTTTTTTCTGCACAGTGCAACAGAGGCAAAAGGACCAATTGCCTCCATCCCTGCTCCTCTCCATTCCATTATCCACAGTGTTACACTGTGATGTCTCAAACATCATTGCCATCCTAATATTTTTCTGCTTAAAATTTTATAATGACCTCAAATAATAAAACCTATAAGGTGTGGTCTGGTGTCCTTTTCCCTGTCTAACTTTATCTCTACCACTTTAATTGTACTCTCACCCTTATCAATTCTTCAGTTTCTTCTATCTCCTTATTTCTTCCCTGTTTTGGTCCTTTGCAAAGAATTTGCCCTTCTAATGCAGTTTAATACACTCTAATTGTCCCCCTAATGTAAAATGGATATGCTTCCTTTTTAATTTGTTTAACATCTCAACAAAGACAGCTTCCTAAGGAAGTCTTTTTTTGACATCCCAATCTAAATTAGATGTCAGTGTTCACTTCCATGCTCTTTCTTTTTTTCTAGCATAACAATATTTATAATTAGTCATGCAGTACTTTTAAGACTCACAAAGGCAAAGCCATTTCTATGTTGTTCACCTCAGTAATCTAGTACAGAGCAAAATTTTTGGCCTATTACACCTGCTGAAAGCATTTTGCTAAACTACTGACCAGAAAGATACACTTATCTACTTTTATTTAAATTTATATTAATTAGCTTCCAAAGTTTCCATAGAGGGTTACTAAGTGTTATATATGTATCAAAATAAGTTTTTAGGTTAAAAGGCATTCAACAAAATAAAAGAACTGGCTTTTGTTTCACAAATGATTATCAAATTCCAAATATGCAGAATTGTGGATTGACACTTCATGTCTTTGAAAGTAAATAGCGTTTAAAGTGAAAATGGTTTTACTGAAGAGGATAAAAGGAGAAAAAATGGATAACTTAGCTAAGAATGGTATTGACTGCTACAGCAATCCTATTATAAGAAAAATAATATTTTAAATCTTTTCCTAATCATTTAACTACAAGAATGTCCCTAATACTATCAAAAAGCTCTTCTTATCTTTCAAATACCTTCACATTCTCTCTGAATTTATAAGAGCATTAAGGCTTTGCTATCGCTATAATTAGATCTACTGAAAAAATACCTTCTCATTTTTGTCAATTCCTGATTATTCATGGTGATGGCAGAAAGCCTTAGCATGGATTACTAAAACCCCAAATCATTTATACCACATGAAAATTAGCCCAAATTCATTATGTCTATCAAAAACTTCTGTTGAAATATCAGTTCACCTTTGAGCTTTAGCAAATTTCCATTGATGCTTGAATAAATGCTCTTAAGTGTATGTGCTGAGTTTTGAAAATAGAAAAAACTATATAGTTGATTAATTTTACGTAATCTAAACCCTAAAAAGTAATCGAACCAACACTTTGGTGTCTTTAGCCCATATTGGGCAACTGGAATGAAAGTTTGACTTTATTAGCCATTGAGAAGAAAGAAAGATTCAAAAGATTAGGGAATGAGCATCATAAAAAGATTTACTTTATAAGCACTTACTTGAAGACTAACAGAAATGTTAATAAAAATATCCAGAGCACATTTTCTTTATGTGATTCTGAATAGTTCAGTTACAATCTTCATGCCATGTCATTCATTCATTTATGCATTATGTGATAATTTATAATCACCTACTGTGGTCAAACACTGTGAGAATTATTATGAATGCAAAATTAAATAAGACACAGTTTCTACCCTTTATAGACTATTACAATTTGTACAGTATAAGTATGACTGATATTAGAATAGATGCATGTCGAGTCAAATAAAAGTCCTAAAATGGAGTAAAATGTGAACTAAATGCCTATCATCTCCCCTGAAGTCAATATAATGTGAATGATACACCAGCTCATCCCTGCAGTCTCCCAAAACCAACAAAATTCGTGAAGCTCTTAACATCCACCAATTAATTAATTTATTTATTCAATAACTAATTTTTGAGGACCTAAATATACCATACCATTCTATAAGCATAGGGTAAAATTATTATTTTTCCACAAAATTCTGTTAATAATACCATAAATGAAATTTATACTCAAAGCCCTGCTTCAGTTTTAAATACATCTAAGTGTTTATCTTTTGTAATATCATTTCTTATAACTCCTGCAACATAAAGATCACTAAAAATACACACAGTCCAGACATGTTTAATTTAAATCCTTAAATATTTGATTATCTGAAAGAATAGCCTGGTATTTATGATTCAGAATCTTATGAAACATTTCTGAAATTAATGGCAATATTGTGTTATATGTGATCTGTGTATACTCGTCAAAATAATGACATTATTCACAAAACAAACACTGCATCTGTTCCAGGGAAAAGCTTAGTCTCTTATTTCTTTTGACAGTGTGCAGACCTGGGTTCTTCAAAGCCTCACCTCACAGCCAGAGCTGCAGCAAATGTCCACCTCACAGTTATACCCATGAGGAAGCTTCAACCTCTTGTGTCTGTGAAAAGGATTATTTCAGGAGGGAGTCTGATCCACCCACAATGGCATGCACAAGTAAGGAAACCCACTGATACCTGGTGATGTTCACCACTTTGAAGAGAGAGCATGATAGAGCCTGTTACATCCTGTTACTATTTTCCTTAAAACAGGCATAATGTTTAATCTTCCAAAACAGATTTTTTTAACCAAATTTTGATTTTCTTAAGTAAGCACTGAAAAGTTGGAATCTTTTTTATTACTCACTGTTAGAAGCATTCATTTTCCCTAATTTCAAATTCAACATTGGGGACAGATAATTTTTTTCTTTTATTTTGTAATTTCTTTTCATTTTCATGACAAGTAAACCTGACTTTGATAAACCCATTTTCCTTTTCACCGTAAACCGTTTTTTTCATTCTTTGTTCTCTCCCGAGCCTGGCTTCTGATCACATAAACATGTAATAAATGGTATTTTTTTTAACCTAATTTCCCCCACTAAATGACAAAAGCCAATGAGAAGGTCATTTATGAAAGAAGACAGGAAACACTTCCAGAACATGCAATACTGGGGGTTGGCAAGTCAGATTTAGGAGTCAAATAGAAAAAATCTTTAGATAGGACTTTTAAGCAATTACCATGTTTCTTATAAGTGAGGGTCCTTAACTATTATTTATTATATGATTCCATAATCATATAATTAGAATAATGAATAGTAAACATTTAATTTCAACATTTGCAGTGGAAGCATCCACATCCAGCGATGTTTTGGTGTTTTAGTTTTTCTGGTATTCCACATATTTCTGAGAAGGAAACGCACTTATGTATTTGTTTGGTTGATAAAAATACTTTCGTAAGTTGTCTGCATACAAAGACACTATGGCAAATCAAACCAAAACTCAGAATGGAGGGAAGAAAGAGTATCCCCTCTCCGCTAAGAGTCGGTATCCATGACCTTGCCTTATTTTATTATTTTTTGATGCCAGCAAAATGCATTTGCTCTCAAAGATGATGACAAAAAGTGTTGAAATCTAGTATTTATTCTAGTTCATTCATTCTAGTATGAAGTATAACAGACATAGAGTTGTTTTAATCAAATGACCACAAACTGAAATTTTATCTGAATTTTAGCATCTGAATTTTATAGTGTCAGCAAGACATATTTTCATAATTTCTCATATTGATATTAGCTATGCATTATGAAAGATCATTCTTTTATCACAAGACTGATCATTTTATGGGTTTGATGATTACTAATTGCAAATAATTCCTTTTCAAGTAAGTAAATGACAGTATTATATACACTTTTAGAAAGATGCATTTGAATAGAGGAGATGTAAACTATGATTGAATGTGATGTGTTTTGGTTACAGCAGAGATTATTTTAATTATCAGAGCAAAAGAATGCCCAGAGAGTAAAGGGGAAATGTGGACAGACAATAGAATGAATTAGGGAAAGAAATAGGGAGAATTAGAAATTAGGAATAGAATTAGGGAGAGAAAACCATATCTTGAATTATCTTTTAAATTTCATTAATTTCCTATAGTTATTTTAAGTGGCCCAGCCATGATCTTTCTGTTTCTCAGCATAAAATTGAGTCTCCCTTTCTGTAAGTTTGCTAGGTTTGGGGTGATGGATAAGCCTGTGCTCTGGTGTCGGGGACTGCTTACTCCTATTATAGGACTTGAGGCTTCAAATTTTCTGTTTCCAAGTGTGTGAATTTCTAGTACTGTGTTTCAAAGAACACTAATTTGTATGCATTTCTTGAAAACACTGTTGGGACTTGTGTAGATCATCTTTCTAACATATAATCCATGGGTATGTTTGTTCCATTTTAGTTGCATTTGTAACACCACAATACTGCATATGACCCCCTTGCATGGATGGCTTGACTTATGTTCACATGTTCATATGAAAGTCTGGAATTTTGCTTTCCCTGGGCGCTTTGAATGAAATTTATGGTTTAACTTCTAATAATTTTTGATATATATATATATATATATATGTATATATATAATATAAATATATAATATTTATTATAAATACATAAATCTTGAAAATAGAATGTTATAAACTTAGAGGAAAAGAAAAAGATTTTGGTTAATCTGTTTAAATGAAGGGACGCTTCTCATAGCTCTGTTTTGGTTCATATATCACATCTCTTAGCAAGGCAGTGAAATTTCATTAGGTTACTTTTTAGGTACATGCCAATCTGAGCCTCTACTTTTTACTTCTGCTTTAGGGCTTCACTTGAATTTGAGTTCTATTTTGACATTAAAAGGCATGTTCATCCCTCCCAAGTTTTAAGGGGCTGTTGGTAGAGAGTCAGAAGAAAAGGGAAGAGTCAGAATCTGATTTTTTTTTTAATGTTTTAACAGATTTAGGGAAAAGGTGTTAATTTAGTTATATTTCAGATGTCAGGGAGAAAAAACTTTGATGTCTTCCTGAGCTAGACACATTTCAATATATTTTAACTTTTTTTCAGAAGTATACCTGTAACCTTTTGATTTCAAATGACATTTTCTCTGTAACTTTCCACTATTAAATAAGCTTAAGTTTACAGTAAAAAAAAAAAAAAAGTGTGGATTTCCATCTTAAGTAACTGCTTTATATTGAAGTGTGTGAGGTTGTATGTATGGAAAACTCACAGGGTTCGATCAGAGATATAGCTGAGGTAGGGATTATTTTGCCAAAAATGGCAACTCGTAGATTTGTGGGGTCAATTTAAATGGCATTTTATAAATACCATGTAGCTTTTTTTTTTTTTATCACTTATAAATTTAGTCTTCAACAGTCATGGCTTAATAAATGTTAGTTAGAAATTAATATTAATCTCTATATTTAAAAGAACAGATATCAAGAGAACTAACTTATGCCCTTCCAAGTGGCTTAATTTACGCTTATGAACCATTCAATGACACCATAGTCCATTCTATTCTTTGTCGAGAAGTTTTACATATTAAGTCTGAAAAAAATATAAATGTATTTTTTCCTTGGGAACATGTGACCACATAACATTAACAACTGATTGATGTTATAATAGATTGAAATATCTGAAAATCAACTGTAGAGACAGATATTATACAATTCCTTTTTTAAAAGACTTTATTTTTTAGAACAGTTTTAGGTTCACAACAAACTTTAGAGAAAGACACAGAGACTTCCGTATACCCCATGCCCAGATACACAAAGCCTCCGTCCTTATCAATCCCTCACAGAGTGGTATAAAATTGTCACAACTGATATGAAATTAATTTCAGTTCTCCTTAATAAGCTAATTATTCATTTCAGAAATAAAGTAGTATACAAATGGATATTTTTTATTTATATATAAATTTCTTCTGCTGATCCGTCAAGATCTGAACACTTTCATTCGTTCTCTTATAGTGTTTTTGAGAGTTATTTTTAAAATAAATTTCTGATTTCCAATTAATTAAAATTCACAATTTGCCAAGCCACAGTATTAAAACAATATCAAAGTAAGTGAAGTTTCATTACACATTGCAGTGTCCAGCTACTTAAATTCTAGTTTCTTCTTGACTTGTGAGGAATATTTCAAATGGTGTTAGTGATTTATCTGTGGATATGCATTTTATTTTGAGGTAAGCTCAGGCTATTTTACTTGCTGCAGAATTTGTAGTCAATAGCCACACTGAGAAATCCTATTTTCACTTGTGCTCATTGCTTAGTCAATCCTTCATGTGTATTTCCTAGGTTTCTGGGACAGATCTCAATAAGGAAGTAATCAGTTCAATCCCCAAGGAGAATTTTTCCTTGGACTTGTCAAAGGACTTACCACTGTTTGAATATAAAATTTTTTATCTAACATTACTTTTGCATAGTTTTACTCCATCATTCTTTATATGTACACTAAGCAAAACATTTGTTTTACCTAAACAAGTGGTTTTAACAATGTCAGGATAAGTTATTTCTATAGGGTGTAAGTCCCACTATTGTCCCAACGAAACCATAACAAGATTTTTCAAAGATTGTTACAAATTGATGATTCTTGCATTCCCCCTATTTAAAAGACTGGTTGCAAATCAATTTTTTTTTCCTTCAGACCAGGGATATGTGTAGTAAACAATGCGTAATTTTATCATCTTAAAATATGTTTTTCTTACTTTACTTTGCAAACCAGGACCCCCCTCACCTCCTCGGAATGCCATCTCAAATGTTAATGAAACTAGTGTCTTTCTGGAATGGATTCCTCCTGCTGACACTGGTGGAAGGAAAGATGTATCATATTATATTGCATGCAAGAAGTGCAACTCCCATGCAGGTGTGTGTGACGAGTGTGGAGGTCATGTCAGGTACCTCCCCCGGCAAATCGGCCTGAAAAACACCTCTGTCATGATGGTGGATCTGCTCGCTCACACAAACTATACCTTTGAGATTGAGGCAGTGAATGGAGTGTCCGACTTGAGCCCAGGAGCCCGGCAGTATGTGTCTGTAAATGTAACCACAAATCAAGCAGGTAAGTGTGATGTCCAGCCAAATCATGTACCTTAGGCCAAGCTCTGTCAATTATCTTCATAGCTAAGTGAGGGCTGAACCGTGTGAGATCTGCAAGAGAGCTTCCCGTAAATTACAGGGTTAGGACTTAAAGTCGACTATATCTCAAAATGCTTTATTTAGTTTTAAACAAGTAATGGCTAAGGCTTTCTTAGTAGACTCATCCATGGACGGGGTTGGGGGGAAAAGATATGCTTCAATTGAATTTTTTTATTAAAAAGACGTTGCTGGCTCAAGTTAATTTGTAGTAAAAATTTTTACCTCAAATTTCACACTTGCAATTATGATAGCTCAAATCTAGTTATTTTGTTGTTTTGTTTACATTGAGTTTTTTATTTATTTCATTAATTTAGCAGATAACCAGGCAGGTCTATTTGCTTGTTTATTTGTTCATTTGGCATCTCCGCTGAATTTTCTTTGCACGTTGAAATAAGATTTTCTTATTATCTCTAATATTATTATTATAAAAATGTAAAGAATGAAGTTTTATTTGATAATCCACTTATCAAAATTAGAATAGCTGAACTATACATGAAAACACATTTATGTTCCATATGAGGATCTTGGAATTACTAGGGAGTAATTATTAAGGAGTAGGGAACACAGTTCTGCTTGAGCTAGTTTCCCCCCCGTTTCCCCTCAGATATTCAATTTTAAGGACTTCTTTTCTGGTAAAATGAAAACCAAAGATAAACTATAGTTAAATTAATAATTCAACCTATCATGTGGCAGAAATCATTCAAAGCCTATGGGTAATTTATGACTTGTTTTTGTCAACAACAGGTATGTGGGTTGGATGAGGCATTAAATAGAACTTCCCTCTATTCCCTGGCCACAGTTCTTAGTCCATGGGCATAAACTTGTCACCTTATTAGTACCCCAGTTGGACTTTTTTCAGTGAGGACATCCTTGCCAGTGTTCTTATAGTGAAACAAGATGTGTTCAACTGAATCAAATTGGACTTAATTCATATACATTAGTATAAGTTTGTAGGTCGTAGAATGACTGGGTTGACAAGAGAATGCTGTTGGTAACCATGTGTTAGCCAAAATAATTTGAATTATTGAATGTGTCAGGTAAATCAAGTCATTACCTCTTGAGAATAAGAAAATGCAGTTAAATTCATCGTTCCTTCTGATTGACTAAACTGAGGGAAATATTCAAGAGCAGCTTGTATGTTACGAAAGTAGTTGAGTAATTCACCAAGAATCATTCTAAATATTCTAGATATTCTTATCCGTGCTGCATAGATGTCCACAGCATTTTTTTTTAATTCAGTGAGAGAAAAGTTTGCACACATATATGCCACCTCCCTAAGGGAATCCTTTATATTTTTCTCCATTTGCTCCCTAACCTAAAATGGAAGTAATAAAAGTAATAAAAGAGCCGGATAGGAATAGTGAAAATTAAGTTTTCCTTCACTCTAGACTCAGTTGCTGGCAATACTGGTTTGTGTCAATATTCCGTCACAGAATCTAGTCACAAGTGTTCAGTAAATGTGTACTGCCTTCCCACGTCAGAAAAATGTTGGCTTTATAACATGTGATTTCAGGCTTCTCATGCAACATCTTTCAACTTTACTTGCTTCTGTGTATGAGTCTTCCATTAATATATTGAAAACGTTTTGAACAATCACTAAGAGTTGTATTCCTCAGGGAGAATGATTTCTGGCTTGCATAACCTCAACTTACTTGAAAGATATTTCTCTGATGAACTAGGTATAAGAAATGACTGTATACTTTCAAGATGATGTACTTAATAAATATTTGCTCTAGTTGTCTTTGACTTGCTAGTCTGTTCAGACTACAAAGTGTGCTTTTTTGATGTATAAATACCTTAAATACCATGAAGGAATAATTTTCATCCGGCTGTTCAAAGCACGGCTATCATATAAAATAAACATTTGTATTCAGAGCAGACATTTTGGTTGCTGCTTTTTTCTAAGTTGTCAGGATACACTTACAATAAAAGCCTTCAAACCTTTAAAAAAAATCAAAACAAGAAGAGATTTTTCTTAGCGTCTAACCATTCTAGACAAACCAAGCCTCAATTTGCACAAAAAATGTTAAATTCAAGTAGCTCTTAAGATGTCTTATATTTAATATCACTACTGCTGTATATTTATCAAGTGCCGACATTATGGAAAATGGGCTATAATAGTTACTTTTAATTATTTGAATATTTTTAAGCATTAAATTGAAGCAGATTATTTGTGCCATATGTGTTTTTTATATAAAATTTCTTTCAGCAGATTTTAACTTTAGTTTCAGACTTTTTTAAGGAGGTTTTTTGAGAAATGCGTTTCTTTTGTAATAGATTCATTTCAGATTTGTAATTTATTTTGGCATTTTCTGATTTATTTTTGTGACAACAACAAAGTGTGTTGTTGACTAAAAGAAAAAAAAGCCAACCTAAAATAGATTAATACATGTTTTATTCGGTGTCTTACTGAGGATTATAGACCAGGAGACAGTATTTTAAACTGCTCGAAGATCTGTTCCAAAGCACGTCAGTTCACAGAGGATTATATACAAAAAAGGGAAAGGATACCCATCTTTGCAGACAGTTCTCCATTATATAGTTGTGCGTCCCAAGGTATAATTCTTTTCGTTGTAGAAATTAAGGTTTACGGATTTCCACTTAGGCACATGAGTGACCCTTATGTTGTTGTAATACATTCTGTTTCTATCATATCAGATTATTCAGGATTATTACTGGCCTGCAACTGCTTAACTGGTTTCCCAGTTCTTATTTTTGGTTTCTCCTTGAGGTCATTTGAGACGGTCAAAGAAGGTTGGCATCAGTCATCTTTTGCAATTTTAGTGCACAGTCTGAAATGTCCATATTCAACATTATATTTGTAAAGTACCAGAAGAAAAACTAGCAATTTTTTTTCAAGATGAGAATCCTTCATTAAGCTAGGAACTGCAATTGATTGGTCTATAAAAATAAATAATGGTTTTTGTGTTGAAGATAGTGATTAAATGACAAATTTATGGATGTTTATACAGTATTTAAAACACTTTCCCAGTCATTATATCATTATGACGCCCACCTTACTCTTGCAAGATGTTGTCTAAATTTAAATGGTACTTTTTTACAAGTTAATTTAATAATAAAATCAAATTATGAAGTTTTGGGGCACCTGGTTGGCTCAGTTAATGGAGTATGTGATTCTTGATATCAGGGTTGTGAGTTTGAGACCCATGTTGGGGGTAGAGAGTACTTAAAAAGCAAGGCAAAACAAAAAACTCCCCAAATATAAAATTTTAAGAAAAGCTGAATACTAAAATTAGTTGGACTTTACGGTCCTTGTAAAATGCAGCAAATAGTACTGAGGTTGACAGGAAAGCATTGTAAAATTGTGAAGGTTTTCATGGTCAAGAAAAATAAACACATCTGAAAGGGATAAAAAAAAGAAAAAAAGTAATTTACATGAAGATAAAGAAATGCTGTCTGCGGAGGAGGGGGAAAACATAGGAAAATACAATGGAAATATGTCAATTATGTAAAGAACTCTTTTAACAAATAGGTTGCAAAGTGGATAAAACGATGAAAATGTAAACCATGAATTTTTTTAAATTCTTAAATGTAGAAAAGGGATGTCCAGTGAGTTCCTCCAGCTTCCTAGTGATTTTATGTCTGTTTTATGCAATACATTCTTTCAAAAAGTTGAATTACCCATTACTCATTCCTTCTAAAAACAAGTATTTAGATTATTTATGTAACAACACTTCTGTTGTTCTTCTGTTTTATTTGTTTATCTAAAATATCTATCTCCTAGTTAGGTGGATGGATGGATGAATGAATAGATAGATATGTAGATAGTTAGAAAGTGAGTGATACATCAAAACATAGTATGAAAATTAAATTCTGTTAAAAGCAAGTATTTTTAAGTTTCATTATTCACTCACAAAACAATGTGCATTACCATATTCTCTTATGAACATATTGTTCAAGTTTCTATTTTAAAATAATTTTGCTCTAGGCATATGACATCAAGTGCTAAAATTTAAAACTTTTAAAATATATACAAATGTATATTTTATCCCAAGAAAGAATAAGCTTATTCTAACCAAAAACAAACAAACAAAACCCTCAATTACTAACATTTTAATACGCAAAGGAACAGAATTCTAATTCTGAGGTAAAATAGACCAAACTTTGTTTTGAATCAATCTTAGGCTCTTGGTTTCTGTCTTCAGAGGGTTCGGTTGACATGACATGAGCTGCAAATGCAGCACACATTTTTGTGGGGATGTCCCAACCTGTCCCAGACTATCAGAGATATCACTAAGATTGTTTCTTGGCCTTTTGGCTAAGATCAAGTACCAAAATATCACTAAGAAAGGTGCCCCTGTGTTTTGATGGTTTGTATTCCTTGGTTCTTGCAAAGGTGTCTGGGGTAATTGATAATCTCATTTAATCAAATACTTTCAGTTTGATGCCATTCATGTAGTTGACCAGCATGATGTATCTTAGGATATTATGCTGTAGAGCTGGAAATTTAAGAGAATGCTGAAATGAGATGGTAAAAGTAGGTTGTTGCCCTTGCCAAGGTGGCAACGAATGTTTTCTGGTGGTTTCTGTGTATTGAGATGTTTAAAAAGTTTATTGTCACCTATTAGACCATTACTAAACAATGGTAAAGATATTTGTTGATTTTCAACAGTGGAGAGACTATATTAGGTCTATTTGTAATCACCACCTGATTAAATACATATTTTGGCAAGATTAGTTTGTCTTCTACTCAAACTAAACAAGTCATTAAAACTCAAAATCCCCACTCTTTATTCTTCCATATTTTTTATGGTGGCACTAATTTCTGCATTTCCCCACAGATACAATAAAGATTTGTGCTTCCTCTTTTGGTAGGATGGAGATATTTTAATTTGACCATTACTATAGTTTTACAGATTTTACTTCATGGGCCTCAGAGACAGAGGTTTCTTTCAAGTGCAA